CTCTCAGAAATCCTAAAAATCTATATCGACTGCTGTACATTCTTTTCATGACGTTTTGTAAAATCCGTTTTTCATTATCTTCCTATCCAGAGTCTCGAATCCCTTTCAATGTCTCACATTTTCCTTTCTTCGGCTCCAGTATTGATTCAGGAAAGCACATTATTGGTTTACATCGTCAAGCTTCGGAAAGAAGTTAGAGATTTCGGGGTTAGAAACTCAGTTAAAGTTCAGTGTAAGTTCGTTCGAAATACGATGAAGCACGGCGAGTTTACACCTCCAAACAAACATTGCATTACCCTTTTCCCACCTCGGAAGCGTATAATCTTTGTTAACTCCTTCGAAGCCGATGATTTTAACACGGGAGACTTAACCGGATGACCCGTTCAATTTCTAAAAACCTGACTACCACAGAATCTTCGCATTAAAGTGATTTTTATAAAATTACTTTACTTTATAAAATCACATCTACTAGTTGCCACTTAACATCGAGAAAACTTTACTCGTTGCTGCACAAATTGGAGAAATTAAAAATATATGAATATAGAAATATTCAAATTGGAAAACTTTCAAATCCCAACGAATGTACTTATAAGTTGCTGCGAAATAACTTTATATAAAAATAAAGGTTAACACGAATTTTACATAGTAACGTTTAATAAAAGTTTTAATCATAAAACTTACTATTGAGTTTAATCTTTAATAAACGTGTCACCAAATATACGTAGTTATGTCAGTGAAACCATAAGTATTTAAATTGTACAGTGTGCCATTTCTTTAATTCCAACATGAATTTGAAAATGTTTTCTGATTAAAATGTATCTAGTGAAAGGTAAAGTAACAATAAAGTAAAGTAAACGAATTTAATAAAATGAATAACGCAAATAAAATACAACAAATATTTAGTAATCTTTACACAACATATGCCAAAACCAATTACTTTTAATTTGATTCGGTAAGCCTCAAAATAGGAGAGTCACATTTACGTGAGAACAGTCGAAAACCACTAGTTAAGTGAATTCACGCCTCCGCGATACCGGTTGTCGGTTAAATTATCTATCCAGGTAATGTATTAAATTATCTAAGAAATTATTTACAGGACGACGAATACAAACTCTGTATCCAAAGTATGATCTTCGCCGTTTATGCGCGGAGTTACAGTCTGCTATCGTTCGAATAATTATGAGGGACGCCGGCAATTTCAGTAGCTGGATGGTTAATTCAAGCTATCTCCGAGGCGTCAGCAATGAATCTCAACAATTTCCGGGGCATATTCGACTTATCTCGACGGACAAACCTCGGGATCTGATAACAGCCTCTCCTTCACGCACGTGAACACGCAACCCCCTCGTTATCCTCGAAACAAGCGGCCGGAGATTCGCGAGTAGATTAAAATTCCCCGCGGATACGGAAGCTACCCACGGATTACGGGGCTGTAAATTGCGAGAGTGATTCGTGGTTCTAAGGAATCGCGGTAGCCTTTTAGCAATTTCGAAAGGGATGAGCGGCGAAGGGCAGCTCGCAGATAATTCGATCGAGAAGGAAATAGGGTAAATGGAATTACGAATGTTATCACTAAACGTACCGCGACCGGTTAAATCAATGGTATTAACCAGTTAGCTATTGGGAAAAGTGTATGCCTAAAATGTGCCGCAAAATGTAAATTATAGATGTTCTGACGAGTATACTCGTCATAAGACAAAACCTTGCCATTTCTTTATGGCGAGTATACTCGTCAAAAACAACAAACTAATTAAAACTAGATTTAAAATTCTACATTTTCATTCAACCATTTTACTTTATATCGATTGTTATATTGTCCGATTAATCAATTTTTCAATTTTTGTCTGCCCTTCTGTTTCTGTTTCCTATAAGAAGAATTCATCGTCTAACTTGTTTATGTTTAATTTATAACCAATTATTTTTCTGATTACGGTAGAAATAGATTCATATAAAGTACTGGTGCGTTTAGTATTATACTAGGTAAGCAAAGACTCGACAAAATAATGCTTAACAGTAGAACTACCACGTTGGCAAGCAGACTGTTTATAATTTTCTTATAGAAATTACAAAAATTCATTTATTGAAATACCGATTTGTCTATATTTTAGTTTATGCATTATTGAAGTAATTAATTCCTCATAAAATCATTTGTATCTTTTTAATAATTCTAGAAGAAGAAATCCAAAGTGGGTAATTTCGAATCGTCTGGTGGCTTTAGTGTTAGCACGGGATGCAGACTACGAATAATTCGTACATTAAAAGATGGTTTTACGAGCAAAAATAAAATGGAAATAAATAATGACAAAATTACAACTTTCATTTCGTTTTCTAATTATTTTGGATGAAAATTAATCAATGCAATCGACGTAAATCTGATCATTGGCTGTGTCTCTCTTGCGACACTGACCTCCATCACGTGAACCGCTATTGACGCACCGTCATAGTTCAGAGAAGCTTTCAATAAAAAATAAAATGGATTATGTAGGAATAAAAAGGTCTATTAAGGTATGGATTTTAATGAGATTGGTTCCAACAATCCTTCAAGTAAATAATTAAAAACCAAATTACAAATAATAAGTTCGTTTGTCTTCGTCAGTCAATAAATTAAGAAGATTGCACTTTATACTTTGGAAATTGATAAATCTGCTTTTAAGGTAGGATCGTTATTTCTAACATCTACTCTTTGCTGATATATTTCATTAATCTTTTAACTTTTGCACTTTCATCATTTATTTCGTCTGTCATCTATCACGCATATGACAAACGGATTTTTGTTGAGTTAATAAAGTTTTAATGATAACAGATGAACGAAATGAAAGTAACCGTGGATTCTGATTTTGTAACTGTAAGAAGATTAAGTGTTGTAAAATAAAAATAAAAGTACATACTCTTTTGTAGATTCATTTTTATTCTTGAAATGTATGTAAGTAGAATGTACTTAAATAATAGAAATCTACGAAATTTATTCAGATTTCAAATTGGAAACTATATACGTATAATAAGATGCATATAAATTTTAATTAACTCATTGATCGACGAACCGTGGATATTAGGTCAGGACACCTAACAAAATCGATACATCGTATGTCGCGGTTGAATTTATACTGGTTCGATATCGTATTTTCGTTTCCGGTTTCCGAGAATTTCATGCCGAATTTAGAACACCAAAACTCTAAGTAATAGACAAGATTGTTTTATTATAAAAACGAATGATAAGGAACAGTACAATTGATTCGAAGTTACTTGATTTGATGTTTTAGATCTTGAAATAGGAAATACAATTTCATTCCCCCTACTAACTACTTTTCAAACTATATCAATGCAAAAACATCTTTTAACACTAAAACTACGAGACGGATCAAAATAACCCATTTCTGATTTCTTCATTTTGCAATTATAAAAAGATATAAGATGTTTCTCTAAGAAATTATTAAAGAAATTAATTTAGTAATACGCAAACTGCATTCTTAAAGTTTCTATAGAGAAATTTCAAAAAATCAATTTAGCTGATCAGTAGTTTTAGTGTTAAATTAAGTTGCCAACAGACAATTTCAATATAAAATAATTTTAATTTCATATTAATAGAAGGTCAGAAATAAAACACGTGTATTAAACATGTACGAAATGAAATCCAATTTTATATTGCAATCGATTGTAATATACTAGTCAGTCGCTCACAGTTATCAAAATTCAAACGAAAATTGTAGAAAATTATACGACCAAGTGAATTTAGGTTCAAAATTAATATTTAGGCATATAACTCGCTATAGAAAGGTATGCATGCATGTAGTTCTTTAGAAAAGACAATAATGAAAACTATACAGAAGGAGTGGTGAGAATAAGAAAGAATAAGAGCTTGGACAAGATGAATCATCGAAAGGGGAAAATATTTGGGGTCACTGGACTCCTCGTATTTTTCTACTCCCTTTCCACTTTGAAACAAAGGTGTAAAGAGTTCACAGTACGACGTGACAATTTCAGAGATACCTTGCAATCCCCTGCAAACTCTTGTGTAGAAGTCGTTGGTCATTGTAATCCACAGAATAAGAATGGTTTCACATTTTGAAACACTGTATTTTTATAACCAAAGAAGTTTACTCAGAAACTCTTTATATTGTAGAGGAATATGAATTGTGCTCAAATAATTTCTTTTCTAATGAAGACATTATATACTATGTAATTTAAATTTAACCAATTTTGCTTTTTTTATGTTGAAAAGATATGGCAGATTATTGGAGAACAATAAACTTTATTTATGGATTACATAGACAATCATAATGAATTTCAACCCATTGAAAATAATATATATTGAGAGAATAAATATTAATGTGGTCCAAGGTTTCAATAAAAAAGCATTATTGAATATACGAAACGTATTTTGTTTTCAAAAGTTCACGTGAAAACGTTTACATTAAAATATTGTATTATTAAAAAATTGATAAATAAAATTGATATGGACTTATAGGTTGATGTTTATTACTAGAGATTTGAAATATTGTTAAAAAAAATAGCAACACGTAGATTCGTAACAATTTTTTATAATATTCTTAAATTCAAATCGTCTTAGATAAAATGATGACGTGATCGACTCGAACAAGACTAAACAAGTGAGATGACGCTAAAAAAGTGAGAAAGCGATTGGTTACAATAATTGGAAAAAATAAATATATAAACCAATATATCCAATTTTACTTTTGTCGACGACTCCTATGCTAATCGTAATATACTGTCGCTGTTTTAACATCTGTTTCAACTTCTTGATTATCGGATGATCGATAGACTAAAAATGTCAAGAAAATTTCGATCATATTAATTCGTGGACGGTGTATTCCCCAAGTTCAACGAATAACAAAGTATCTACATATTTCCATAGCAAAGAGAACGAAATTATAAAACTGAGATTCCAAATAGAAAATAAATTCTCGTCAAGCTCCGTGTTTAGAACTTGAGGCCACACTTGGATTGTTTGTACAATAGAACAAATCGCTTGACTTTTACAGATCGCGATACGAGAAAATGGGCGAGGGACAGCCGACTTACAAATTGATCTACTTCAACGCTCGCGGCCGTGCCGAGCATATACGATACATATTTGCCTACGCTGGCATTGACTACATCGACGAGAGGATCCCCAAGGAACGCTGGCCGGAGCTGAAAAAGTGTAAGAGAAGAAATTCGATTGAACCTACTTCTTTGCACCGCACTTTTACAAGATTCCGTGATGAAATCGGGACACGATGATACTACGAGTGGATCGTAAACAATATCAAAATACAAAACATAAAATCTGCGGCACTTTTAACTAGTTACTAAGATTGACGAATGTACTCGTAATGAAGGAATATACTTCGAGTATACTCATCGTGCGGAAAAAGTAGTTACCGAAAACTAGTTGTTACTTGACACTAGAGCTACCGTAATAATCAAAATGACTGGTTTCCGTCTCTTTTTTTGCAATTATTGATAGTTTAAAAGCACTGAATATTCGAAATGATTTTGAAAATAAACAGTTTCACTTGAGTACTATAATGAATGTCTGAGGAAACTGAAAATACTTTATTGCTACAATTTTTATAGGAATTATATCAATCATATTAAACGCTAGGTAGTTCTAGTATTTAATCACAATTTTAGTGAATATCAAAATATATTCATAAATTTGAAGATGTTTGAAATTTTCAGAGAACGAGACGAAATAAAATGAATAAATAAAAAAATATGTTATACAGCGCGAATTTAGATGCACACTTGTCACCAAAAACGCATCAGCTGACGGATGAAACTAAATATCATTCCTCTCTTAACATTTTTACTATCATATCATACAATGTGTCATTCTTTATATCACGAATAATTATCTTCAATACAATTATTATTTTGTTCATACGTGTCTGTTAATTCAAATGTTTAAACCTTTTGCATGTGAACCAGCATCAAAGAAAAGTTTATTTCATCGAATTTATTTTATTAAATTAAAATAACAAGCTATTTCTTGGTAATGTAAAAATTATTTTTCTGAATTTGTAATGACGTATATTACAGTATACGGTAAAGAGAAATATCTGTACATATAAATAAAAAGATATGATTGATCTTTGAAAATATCGAAAAAAGTGTAATTTCTAAAAAAGTCTACCTCGTTTACCTTCTCAAATCATTTAAATTGCATATGAAACATTTTTCGTGCTAACATTTCTAGAGTAGAAAATTAGATGTCCTGTTTTACATGGCACACCTTGTATAATGAAGTGGAAACTTCAACACGAGGTAATAAATCTTCCTTTCATTCCTGACTCGACAATCTATATCAGTGAAGTTAATTTCTACGCGATTCTGGTCTTCGTTCAGCAGCTAATAAAAATTCAAATTTTCATGTCATCTTCTCATACTTTAGTTATTCTAAAAAATTCAAACGTTCACCAATACTTTCTTAAAAAAAAATTTACTTAAAAACCGGAAAGTAACACAAAACGTAACATAGTAATTCTTAGAAAGAAGAAAACAAAAATTCTCGCACCCTCGTTAATCTCATAAATTCTGACATTCATCAATACTTTCTTCAAAGAAAAAGGTTCATCAAAAACCGAAAAATAACGCGAGATGTAATACAGTAATTCTTCGAAAAAGAGAAGAAGAAAATTGGAATTCCTATGAAGCTGTAGTAACCGTGAGTATCAAAAAATGGGCATTGGCGAGTCGGAAAAATGAAAGTACCGCCGTTCCATTAGTAGGACGCGCTGATTAAAACCGGCATGATTCGGGCCGCTATTCAGAGACGGACGTTCCGTGCATCGCGGTCTCGAAAGCTGTGTAATTTTGTATCGATCGTGTTCGTTGCTCTGTATCGAACTGTATTTGTTCTTAGCGATGCCTTATGGAATGCTGCCGGTGCTAGAGATAGACGGGAAACTGATAGCGCAGAGTAACGCAGTAGCCAGACACTTGGCAAGGAAGCACAATCTAACTGGGAGGGACGAATGGGAAGCGATGCTGTGTGATGTTCTTGTCGATACCCTCGGAGATCTCAAGCAAAGTGAGTGAAACTGTTCCTATACTCTATTATGCCGTCATACAAAGTGATCGGAACGAAGTCGTATAAAGTTTACAAATAGCTTGTTGCTTATGCAATTATCACTGTCTAAAGACTCCTGAATTCGGATGACATAACTTTTCTAACTTCTCTTCAGGGACTTAATCAATTATGACTTCATTGAGTTGATCGTTCAAAGTGATTGATAAAATATTCTTTAAAGTCAATTAATATTTTATTCCTATTGTGTGTCATGTAGAGAGATTGATTAATTAATGTGCGAAAGATTGAAACCACGCTTGATTGACAATAGAATATATCAAGCATGAACTTCGCTGCTATTCGCATGATTATATTCTAACTTAATAAGGTTGTATTATTATTATCATTCAATTATTGTGCTTGCTGTGAGTGATGGTATGCACGCTAATATAACGGTTTTCCTTCAGTAAAATCAAATTAACCCTTGAATGCTATCGCGAGGAATGTTCTATTAATATCTTTGAGTCATACGTAAAGCCGCTTTACTGGAATTACTTTGATAAAGTAAGTAATTATTTAAATAAAAGCGGAAGTTACATACCAACATTAAAATCGAATAATTTTTAAGACAAATTTATTGACTTGTTTCAGTCGATGTCTCTTGTTTTTCTATTCTATGATAGTACGTTAAAGAACATGCCATATTTCGAGATATTTACTCTGAATTTACACGTAGCGTTTTTCTTAAACAGTCGCCGGATATCTTTGCCCCGATAAAAAGCACGTAAGTGACATCGGTGTCTGATATATAAAAGAGGATATTCCCAGGAAATAATACGAATGTCGATACCGAGAAACGTTAAAGGACTATTTCACAGCGAAATCATTATGTTATGGCGCAATAAAGGAGACTAGGTTAGGGCCTAGGTTTTATTATTGTAATTACACTGCCGTATTCACTCTGCTTTCCCTTATTTTCTCTTTACTTCCTACGGGCAGTAAAATAAGTCAATAATACCGGGATCGTTATCGTAATTTTCATAAATGAAACTTTAGGGCGAATGCTTTTATAAATTTTCTGTAATACTCTTCTAATTAACCACGTTCGTTTATTACTTCTTTTTATTAAATCGTAAAAATGTGCCTGCGTACGAACGTTACATGCGTACTGGCCATAATACACTTTATGCCAACTACTAAAGTAAGTTACTTTTCATCAGATTCTAGTAGTTTTTGCTATGAGCTCCGCAAGACAGTATTTACAGTGGAAACAAACAGCACAGCATAATTATACGAGCTTTGTGTACTTCTTTTCCCGGAAAGGGTTACTGTCTTTCTTACTCCATTTTTCCTTTAAAATGATTCGCCAGCATAGTTACTAGCGATTTTCTATTATTTGCACTGAAAACCAAGACAAACGAAAGGCAAAAAAATAATATTTTTAGTATTCAAACATTTCGTCCACTGATATCTTGAAAAGAAATATCAAAACCGTTCTTAACCTGTTAGTATTGAGTTTGGTGTGGAAGTTCGTTTAAAAAATTTCTTATTATGTGCGCAATAAAATCAAATAATGAAGTGTGTACTCGTTAAATGCAGGCCAAATGCACTTAATATATTTTAACGAAAAACTAAAACCAAATGAAGAAGAATTACATGTGTTTCTAAGAAGATAAAATAATCCATCGTTGAAAAAGTTATCGTTTTAGAATTTTAAGCTGACGTGTATACGCATCAAACGCAGTTAACTGGTTAAGCCTTATTTTGAACAGCAGCGTAATTATTCACCAATAATTCACATCAAACAACGTCGGTTGACTAACTGGTTTCATTCGGATTGACTTTTGCTACAAATTATGCAATGCCCAATGAGAAAACTACAAATTATTCTTCCCTTTATCGCAGATAACTTCATTTCCTTCTTTTAACCTCGATTAACATTCATGTTAACACTGTTAACACCAGCTATCTGCAAAGAGAATCAGAATAATAAAGATATTACTCAGGTTCAATGCAGAAAGATCTTGTGCACGATAGAGCACTGGTTTCAATTAATTGTATAACACCCGAGCTGTTTACATGATGCGTTACCAATCCGAGCGTACGTCGTATAAAATGGAAACAAAATCGTTAGGAGCGCGGGTCCGCGTTCAGTTTCAACTATTTCACATTAATCGCGTAACAAGTTGGACATTTGTATCGCATTTGATAACACCGCGATTGAATGGCGGCCGAGAGAGGAGCGCCAATTAAATAATGCCATTATCAGAGATATATCGTGTTTTTTCCATGTTCCAGCGAGAAAAATAATCGACGCCGGTGTCATTTGCGGTTGAAACGACTGTCCGTGCCGAATGCGAGTATACCTTTTTTTCATACTTGCCTCATTCCAGTAATGATTCACTTGATTCGACGCACCTGAATGTCTCGAACATTTGTGGATATGTTTTTCTTTCCTTTGCAACGATGTTCGTCTCTTGACGATCGAAAGATAATGTTCGTTAGCATAAAAATCGTGAGCAAAAAACCGCGTTACAGCAACACGGCACACTTATAACCTTTTTTTTCTATTACGTTTATTGTTAGATAAACTATTTTTAAGATCTAGTCTGGCAATGAAATAAAAATACTAGCAATTACATCGAGTTACTGATGAATGTGTAAAATGTACATTGTAAAAGGTTAGGACGTGACATAAAAAAACAAATTGTATTTATATTGCAAAATTATTATTGATCTTGAGTTTCAAAAATTCATATTCTCAATTTTCGATATTATCGTAGAATAAATAATCAATCTTATTAGGAGTAAAAATATCTTAATTAAAGTAATTTCTCTGGACATTTTTCGCAAATGAAAACAATCTGTTAAATATATACTATGTTCACCTACCGCATACAAAATGACTGAAGATAAAATCACTTTGTTGTCAGTGGCATTGAAAATTACACTTCTATCTCACAAGAGACAACATTTAAGAATGAACATAATTCATTAATTTTTAAATATCTTCATATTCAGTTATTTCTATTACTCTCCATAAATAACTTCTCAGTTCTTGTCAAGATTTGCTCAAGATTTTCTACGCGAGTGTATTGAGAAAATAATGAGACTAATGCGATAAAAGTTTAAATAGCTACCGAAAATAAAAAGAGCATTAGAGGAAACCTTAATTTTTCTTCCGAAACTTTCCCGGTTATGGTTTTTGGCAACGATAAACAAGGTCCGCGGTCTGACGTCATCCGTTTCAGTAATATCCCAGTATCGCACCGAGGAGGATCACTTCAAGAAAGAAGAAAAGAAGGCGAAACTTGTGAAAGAAACGATACCGTTTTACTTGAACAAGTTTGAGCAAACTGTTGGCGAGAATGGAGGCTACGCCGTCGGATCTACCGTAAGTCGTTCCAGTAGATTTGATATTAAAATTTTAGTATCCGTGACAAAACTTTTGACGGCACTGGCCGAAGAACAAAGTGAAATCGTATTGGCTATTTGACACTAACTTTCTGACGAACCTTGTACCCTCAAACAGTAATAAGAATATTACCATCACTTTGATCTAACCAGTAAACCGTAGAATTTAGTTTGAAAAATTTCTCATTGTATGCGCAATAAAATCAAATAATAAAGTATGCACTCGTCAAACATAGAATAAATACATCTATAATATATTTTAACGAACGACTAAAGCAAAACGAAGAATTACATAGTTATATGAAAAAAAATAATTTATCGTTGAAATTATCGTCATTGAACTGAGTATGATTCTTTAAATATAAATTTTTATAGACTAATTTGGAAATAATGAAATACGAGAAAGGGTTATTGAGACCTAATGTGAAATAAAAATTGTATTGAATTTTATTGAATAATAGAACGTATATCATATAAAGTATATATAAAACATATATTCTAATAATTGCTAAAATCATTCATGTGATTATTGGTGTTTATAATATCTATTATAATTAAATCTAACAGTGAAAATTTCGAAGGCATCCATCTCACAAGGAAACTAAGAACGAACTGATAACACACTTTTTAAGAATTTTAATATAAAGCATTTCTTATCATATAAATTGCACGATCTCGGAATGTTTGTTTTTTATTTCCATACATGTAGAGTATGTATTCAAATTTTCGACAACTTAACAATATTTCCTAAAAGGGTTTTTAAAAATGTTAATTCCAGTAAATTATAATTTTTCAGACCACGTGGACGGACTTCGTATTCGCGGTGGCTCTTGAAAATTTCGAAAATATTTTTGGCGCACACGCGTTAGAAAATTATCCTGGATTACGAGCACTAAAGAAAAGAGTCCATGGGATACCTGCTATTGGCGATTGGCTGGCGAAACGACCTCATACGGAATTTTAAATATGACTTTTTTTTAACGAACGGGTACATATCTACACAGTCTGCGCGTGCTTAATCGAAAATAATTAAACGTTTGTTAACATTAAGAATCGTCAATGTTACCATGTGTTCTATCGATGTGTAAAATGATGTAACGATGTTGCATATCCGTATCGGTCCATTTGTTGAAAATGTGTGAATTAATGTTAAATAAAGTTCGTCTTCTTTCGTTTAACTTATAAGACGAAATATGTTTCTATCACAAGTTGTGATTTACATCAACTGAATTTTATGTTTCCGTTGAATGCATTGCAGTCTGGAGTGCTTTAAATGTTTCGGGGTAAGTAATTGCGGAAGAAACTCGCATCGTTAATATCAAAGTGAATCTTAATATTATTCAAGGACAATATTTTTATAATATTGTCAATATTACTTCACAGTCACTTTGCGTGCCATTTTAAATGTTCAACAAATCTATTTATATGTTTTCCCGTGTTACTAGAAAAAGATACAACGTTTCGCATGCAAAGTGACTTTGAGATAATTATGAGAAAAACTCACCGATCATACCTGACTGTATACAAGAACAATTTCATTTTCATTTGGCAACAATGTAACGCATCATTAGTCACGATACACGCTGTATATCAAATATTATTTCCTTTCGCACAAAAATCTGATTTTGCAAGAATTTAATTCCATTAGATTGATTAAAAATGTATGAAATACATGCTTCACAAATTATTATATTTAGGCATCATGTAAATGTTGAAAACAATAATGTGGTAACGTAGTTAAAATTCACCAAGATTAATGTAAAATAGCAAATACCTTAGTCAAAGATACATAATTATAATTAATAAAATCTTCGTACTGTTTTTACTTCCTAATGTTCTTCAATCCATCGAGCACATTTTTCTTCAATTTTCATTTTTATACAACGAACTGTAAAAACAAAAATCTCTATAAGTGATTGCAGTTTGTTGATCAGTTTTCGTAATTAAGTTTTATAAAACGAAAGCTTTCTACCAAAGAATATTCACTCTACATGTTTAACTCTTCGTTAAATACATTCAGGCAGGCACAGTTTTTTGTGTTCAGCATGATGAGTCACTGCGATCAATCTTACACGATAGTGAAAATTAGGCGTGGATCACTCGTAGCTTGAGCCACTAGATACGCAGATTGCTGTGTAGAAGTTTCGGGAATCCGCCATTTCTACCTTTATGTAATTTTAATAAAGCTTCACATTTTTAAGATTATAATGTGTTGACACGACATAATGGAAAATATATTAATGTCAAAGCAGAATATGTTGAAAAACAATAAAACCACTAGTTAAAACTTTTGTTTTAATAAAGCCATTAATTCAAAATTATTTGTTACTTCTCTCATATTTTCCCGAAACTTTTGCAGTAATCACATAAAAGTACAGCCTGTAGATCACCAATGGTCCACGCCGGGTCGAACGCATTAAACAATCACCTTTTATTTTCAATTGAGCAGTGTGTATACAAAATGCTATCAAGAATTGAAGCAAGAAAAACATCAATTCGTAGAAATAAGCCTGATGACGCGCTTGGTTACAACTAATTGTTACAGATTAAGTGTTAAGAAACAGTATAATGTATGTTGCATCGTTGTCACTGCAATAAATGCCGGCTAGTCGAGTAATAATAATTCTGCGAAAAGAAGCAACAACGAACGGGTTTACTCCTTTCACTAATTACCCACCGCAATGCCAATGTCGTTCCTTTTTCACAATGATGTGCAACTCTTTTGAAGTGTACCGATGATAAATAAAAAAGAAGAGTTTCGTTGCGCAATGATTTAATCAATTACCCAGAGTTCGCTACGTTACGAATCATATTCTATCCCTGCTGGTTTATCGACAGTAAACACTTAACACGGACTTAGGATAAGTTTGCGTTTAGCGTCCGTTGATAACAGGACTGCGATAAAGAAACCGTGCTTATCGTTTGTTTAATAGAAACAGTCAATCCTACATGACTTTATTTTCATCCTGATAAATTCGACAAAAGATAGAATAACTATATTCGGCATGAACGCGAAGTGAGAATTATGCGTGTAAATTTATGGAAATGATTGTAAAGCTATTTAATTTGAATAATTTATTTAACCTGCATCCAGTTTGAACCAGGAAAATGATATTTTAAAAATTGTCATGTCTCATTAGTTGGAACTGATTTCAATGGAAACGAGAAATTAATAATATGATAATTTATTACGATGAACGCTCATTTTTAATATTTGTAGACCTATAATGCAAATTTTTAATGTCTAATTGCGCGATATATTGTAAGAAAGTAAGAATGTAGATATAATTATTATCCATATGAGATGTTTTAAAAGATGAAAGAGAAACAATATTATTGTAAGAAAAACAGAAATATTATAAATCTATGTGAAAATAATATTTATGTTTTGAAAACATAATTTCGTACAAAGTTTATTCAATATTAATAGATTGCGAATGTTTATGCAATTGCGTAGTTTTATAAACAATAAATTAAAAAAGGAGATGTGGAAAAAGATTTGTTTTGTGATTAAATAGCTGTTTAAAAATATCCTTATGCTACAAAATTTGCATATTTCATATTTCCTATTTTATGCACATAAAAATATAGCTTTACTAAATGAATCCTAGACATTTTGAACGAAAAAGTTCAGTAATTTAAATTATTTAAATTTAATTATTTAATTATTTAATTACTAAATTTAATTTGTATTTAAATTTAGTAATTAGTGTTTAATAAAAGTTATTTTTGCGCCCTGTTTGGCGTTACGTACAAATTGATAAAATAGCATTATCATTAAACAAATTTGCTTTTAGATATCACTGAAGGATTGAAATCTCTATTTACCGAATATGGAGATAAAATCAGAATAAAACATAAATCTGAAATTTAGTATCAACTACAAACCTAGTGCTATATTCTATTAAATTGTATTTTCTTTTACATATACTTTTCATATTTTTGCATAAATATTCGCAATTCAAACATTTTGTACACACACATGCTTTTACTTATTTATTTTTCCTTATAACAGTAAGTAGTGAAAGCAGTTGTTATCAGGTATGTTGAAACAGTACCGTATATAAGATTCCATAAAATGAAATTAATACTCTCTAAACATTACAGTTGTAATGTTCTTTTAGTACAGATATTTTATATAAATTGCGTTTATGTATTCATTCCGTTTTTTAAAATGTGCGAAAGCATTTGTAATGCAAAAAATTTTCAAAATAATCAGAAATTTATTATATCAGAAGTATTCTGCATCCTCTTTAAGTTTTTCACTTAAAATAAATACTTAATTACTATAAAAAATAAATAATATTATAAGCTACATCTTTGTTTTCATTATAATAAATAATATTCATAATAATCGGGAGTTGTGAATTAAGTAATCTTTTTATCAGAATTCCATATAATACCATACATTACTCTAATGTGAATTTACTTTGTATTTTTCATTTTACATCCTGGCGGCTACAAATATCGATTTCTTCTCGCGAGAGCTTAAACTCGCAGATTTGAAATCATATACTTATTTATGTAATTTTCCTTTTCTTATTATCCTATCAAAAATTACAAAATATTCAGTTTTTTTAATCACGATCGTTAAATAATCTATGTATATCAGTAAATTACGTCCTTATGGTATCCTAGTGATTATTTTCTTAGTAAAAATGGTGAACAAAATACCGGTATTATTGACCCCAAGGTCAAACCTAGGTTCATGTGTGTGTAACTACTTTTAACGTCACTACTACTCGTTCTGAAAACACCGACCAATAGAATAGAATTCATTGTTGGAGATAGGAAGAGATATATAACCTCGCTACATCAACCTTGTCAAGTAGAATTGTCAGTTGGAATCTTGGTGATCGTGTGAGTTACGTTGTCGCGCAACGAAATAAATGTAAGTATATTAATACTTTTTATTGGCGTCATATATTTTTAATGATCAAATCATTTTTATTATAATTATGCTTTAGTTTTTCATATTTTTTGCGCTCATAATACATAATTTGAATAATTCGGCTTCTAATTACAAAAAATAAATCTTATAGATCAGTCTGGAAACTCAAAAGTTTCGCGTAAAATTAATATCTAAATATTGAATATAAAAAACCGGGTTTAAGGAATTACAAAAGTAATGTAACAAAAACTCGAAATATTTAATTTTGCGAAATTTGATAATTAATAATAGTATAATGTTACTGTATAAATAATAATGGACTTGTAACTTGATAAATGAAAATAGATTAATAACAGTGAATATTAACTGGAATTGACATATTACAGACAGATTTTTCGATTACGAACTGAAACTAAACTTTTTAAAAAAATTAATACATTTATTTTAGTTCATTTCTTCGAATTGAAAACTCGACGATTTTAAAAATAATATTTCATATTCTTTTTTAATTTTAATCTTTTAATCTATTATAGAAAAATGCCCACATACAAGCTTAGTTATTTCCCAGTCTCAGCTTTGGGTGAGTCAATTAGGTGGCTATTAGCATACGGTGGAATTGAATTTGAGGATATCCGCTTTAATGTTGATGACTGGCCTAGTATTAAACCTGGTAAGAATAAATTTTAATCTATACTTAAAAACAGATGAGTCATTGTTCTTAAATTTCATTTTTCTCTGTCTTAAACGATCAAAATACTTTTATGTTTTTAATAAATATGTCAATAGCATGAAAAACACGTCTCACCGATCGGCATTAAGTTTTGAGGAATCGTAGAAGTTGAGGGAAAGACTTTAAATATACAATTTTACTTTCGGATATTTAACAGTTTTCGAAGTATTAATGTAAAACTGTCGCATAATACATAAATTCTGTCTATGCAAACGTGACTAAACAACGATCGTCGTTGTTAGAATCGTTTTTACCGTCTATCAGTGACGTAACAGCAACATCGGCCTGAGTACATATCTATACGATATTTCGCTTAAAATCAGTATCTTACCATACATATAAATGAGTTTCGTGTAAATAACAGAGATTAGTATTAATGCGACCAGTCCTTCTGCGGCGAAGGAGAAGATAAAGGGGCAAGACCCCTCTCCGCCCACGGTTCTACTTCATAATCGCTACCAAACTTTTTAGTGCGAATTCATGACGTTAGGCGATTAAAACTACAATAATCGATTTTTCTTGGGACACCTTATAGAAGATACCTGTAGACATGAAACCGATTCGTTCAGCGGCTCACCGCCAATGACTACTACGACGAGGGTTGTTGTACTAGTCAAGTGTATACAGACAGAAAAATTACATGTTAATCCGGAAGAGATTCTTTGCGGAAGAATATTTGATACATGTTATAAATAATTTTTCAAAAACTAATTGTGTTCACAATAAAGAAATTTATGTTACTCTATGAATTCATGTATCTTATTTTTAAAAATTAATTTCGTTTAAAATTATTTGATTCAAGTAAAACTTATCGCTGTCCAATGTACTAGATGTATAAGTGATTTTGAATAAAGAATTTCTCATTCTCTATACGTTTAGAAACGCCATTCGGCCAAGTTCCTGTTCTTGAAATAGATGGTAAAAAAGTTCATCAGTCTGCAGCTATCAGTCGTTATTTGGCAAAACAGTTCGGTCTTGCTGGAAAAGATGATTGGGAGGCTCTAGAAATTGATATGGCTGTTGACACTATTCACGATCTTCGTACAAGTAAGTGATCACTCACTTGTTTTATTCTACTAAAGCCTACTTCATTCATTCGATGAAGTTATAAATAAAGATAATTAGTATTTCCGATTTTAATATCGCGACCAATCACATTATTTTTTATTAATTATTACATGTGTTCTGTAAGAAGTAGATTAAGTTACAAGTGTTTTTATACGAGCCATAATTCTATTCTTTTAGAGATATCATTCTATAGTTACGAGAAAAATGAGGCCGCTAAGGCTGAAAAATTAGTTTATGTCAAAGAGGTGGTACCATACCTTTTGGAGCGTTTGGATGCTCAAGTAAAAAAGAATGGTGGTTACTTCGTCGGCGGTGCTTTAACCTGGGCTGATATAACTTTTGTTTCTATCCTTGATTATTTGAATCATATGATGAAGTCTGATATTATTGAGAAGTATGAGAATTTGAAACAATTAAAAGAAAAGGTATTGAATGTGCCTGCAATCAAAGCTTGGAATGAGAAAGCACCAAAATCTGTTTGGGGTTAAATTAACTAACAAATATATCGTCCGATTAGAGTTTCTAAAGAATGATACTCTGGTTCTAATCCCCACATATTGTCTACATCTACATAAGTAGGTACAAATCAACAACTTCTCATAGTTATTATTATTCATACATCTGTGATGACTATGACTATAGAATTATATGTATAACCACACATAGAAATTATAAAATATAGACTATTAAAGTCGTATTATATTTTTATATTAAAATAAAGAATTTCACTAACTAATGGAATAGTTTTCATTTAGACCCAGAAGATAATTCTCTTGAAAATTGTATTTGGCATGGTCAAAGTTAATAATAATCAAAATGACGATGGTTTAAATTCTACGAATTTAATACGAAAGCTTTAAGGCATTTCAAGATAATTAAGCGAGCTTGACAATAAACGTAAGTTATATTATTCCAATGTTAACTTATTTTATACGTATATTCTGTGTTTTCCATTTTTTATTTTGGCGGCTATAAATCTCGATTAGATCTCGCGAGAACTCGAACGCGCGAATATTGAAATCGTACACCTACATGCGCATCTTTTCACAATTTAATCTGGTACCCTAAATCATTGAATATTAATTTTTATTATCATGATCATTAAATACTTTATATCTGTCAATAAATTTCATTTTTGTGATATTTTGTTAATTATTTTCTTTGTGGAAGTTATGAATGTCAGAATTATTGAACTCAAGGTTAAATCCTGAGACTTAAAATGTCTACCAATAGAAGAGACTAAGTCCAGAAATAAGAGGGGATACATATAGTATATAACCTCGCAATGTCTATCTCGTTCATTTATGGAATCATCGGTTAGTCTGCAGTGTTCATCCGTTTTACATCTTTATTTGACTAAAAGAAATGTAAGTACGATAATATTCTTTATCGGTTTCATATATTTTTAATGTTTAAGTAATGCTTATTATGAACCTTTTTTACCTGTTGTATTTTATACACTAATGATGTATAATTTTGAAAATTCAGCTTTCAATCTAACCGGCTAATCTACAACATTTTTAAGATCAGTCCGCAAATTAGAAATAATAGTGCGATATTACTGTATAGATAATATAATAGAACTTAGCACATGAACAAAATTAATCCTTAGCGCTAAATATTAAATAGAATTATCTTACTACAGCCACCCAAACCTTTCAACTACAAACTAAAAGTAAATTTTTGTAAGAATTACATGTATTTTTATTAATTTTTTTGACGTAAAAAATAAAAATCTCAAAGACAACAATTTTATTCATATATGCATTTTATATTTTCTTTATAATTTTAATTTTTTAATGTTTGTGGTGCATATGACTTTCACTTGCGCAATATTAATTATGCATAAATATACTTTATTTTCTGTATTATAGAAAAATGCCCACATACAAGCTCACTTATTTCCCAGTCACATCTTTGGGTGAGTCAATTAGGTGGCTCTTTGCGTATGGTGGAATCGAATTTGAGGATATCCGCTTTACTCATGATGATTGGCCTAGTATTAAACCTGGTAAGATTAAATTTTAGTCTAAATATAAAGATAAATTAGTTTTTATTCTTGAATTTCATTTTCTTCTTGATTACCTTCGTATTAAATAATGAAAACATTTTAAGTATACATGAATACAATATGATGTATTATTACAGATTACAATGATGATTTTTATTTACTTCTCTATGGCAACAGGAATTGTTAAGCAAAGAATGTTCCATATTTTCTAGTAAGAATCAGTCAAATATAACTTTTCAAAGTATGAAATGCTCTATGTCTTTAAATATATAGATATTATAATTACCAAACAGCAGTTGTATCTACAACATAGAAATTCATGTACTTTTGTGAGATTAACTGTCTTACTCATTTAAATCAGTTACATTTTAAAGTATTTGACTAAAGTAGTACTTGCTACATCTAAATTCGCTAAAGACTTATAAATGATTTTATATGAAGAATTTTTAATTTCCTGTATTTTTAGAAATGCCATATGGCCAAGCTCCTATTCTTGAAATAGATGGTAAAACAGTTCATCAGTCGGTAGCCATCAGTCGTTATTTAGCAAAACAGGTTGGTCTTGCTGGAAAGGACGATTGGGAGGCCCTTGAAATTGATATGGTTATTGACACTGTTCATGATCTTCGTGCAAGTAAGTGATTACTTATTGTTTTTATTCTATTAACCTTTATTCATTTGATGAAGTTACTAATAAAGACTTGATAACTAGACCCATATAACATTAAAATAATTATATTAATATTTTTATGTGAACCATAATTTTATTTTTTAGAAATTGCATCTTATCATTATGAACAAAATGAAACTGCTAAAGCAGCAAAATTACCTTATGTCAAGGAGGTAGTACCATACTTTTTGGAGCGTCTGGATGCTCAAGTACAAAAGAATGGCGGTTATTTTGTTGGTGGAGCATTAACCTTAGCTGACATAATCTTTGTTTCCCTTCTTGAGTATTTGGACTTTATGATGGGGTCTGATGTTATTGAGAAATACGAAAATTTGAAACAACTAAAAGAGAAGGTCTTGAATGTACCTGCGATCAAAGCTTGGACTGAGAAAGCTCCAAAATCTGTTTGGAATTAAATTGAACAACGCATAGCGTTTCACGCTCATGCCTGGTTAAAGTTCAAAGAAAATGATATTCTGATTCTAATATCTATGTTTTATACATCTACGCAGACAAATACGAAAATCTTTCTATAATTTTTATTACTACTATTTCTGTGATGACTCTTATACAGTTATATGTATAACCATACATAGAATTTATAAAATACAGTCTGTTAAACTGATTTATATTGAAATAAAGTATTTTATTACCTGATACATTTGTTTTCATTTGAAACCAAAAGATAATTAATATATTTGAGATGCATTGGATCTGATGATCACTATGCAGGTCTGTGCAATTTTCAGTACAAAAGTTTAGTAGAAGTCAGCAGTGATGAATAACAAACAGCACCGAACAAGGCGAAGAATGACAAACAGCGGGGAACAGTGTCAAGCATCACCAAACAGCACTGAACAATGGCCAGGGCCGCGAATAGTAGCAAACCACAACGAACAGAAGCGAATATTGACAATCGATTACTTTTACATTCGTATATTTTTTAGTTGATATATTTTAGATAAAGTGCTTTCATTCTGCTCTTCATAGCACGCAAATGCAACTTTAAAGTAATGAAAGTTTAAGGAGAATTTGAAATTTGATTATCTTAAATCTATTCTACTCCTTATTTCAGTTTTTCGCTCTGTATACAAACATTTGTTTTAATATTATTTATATTATAAAGTTTAATATTATACAGGGTGGGCCACGGAAAAGTAGCTCACTGATATAATAAGTGATATTGAAATTGAAGGTGGACTGCTTTCCTATAGCCCGCTCTGTATTTTTGTGATTTTTTGTATATTTGGTTAAAATTATAGTATTCAATTACTATAAAAAATAAATGTTGTAACCTATATCTTTATTTTAATTGTTATGAATGATATTAACCAGTTTTTTTGTTACCAATATTCCATATAAAATCATACATTATTAGAATGTTAAATTAATTTGTATATTTTGTTTCCCGTTTTAAATTCTGGCGGCTACAAATTTCGATTATACCTCGCCAGAGATTGATCCTGCGAATATTGAAATCATACACTTATTCCTACGCTTTTTTTCAATTTAGTTTCGTGTCTTAAATTACTAAATTCTAAATTCTTTAATCGTCCTCATTAAATAATTTATATCTACTGTTATTGAACTCATTCTTTTAACTTTACTACTATCGATAATCGAGACGTCGATAAATAGAATAAATAGAATCAGAATAGGAGGGGACATATAATTCGCAGCGTCGACCTCGTTCAGTTATTGCGTTATTAGTTGGAATTTCCTTGTTTGTACGACGGATAACGTTTTCATTTGACTAAAAATATGTAAGTGCGTTAATATTCTTTGTCGGTTTCATACAGTTTGAACGATCAATTAATGGTTATTATGAGTCTGTTTTACTTTTTGTATTCTGTGCATTAGTAAAGCTTGGTTTGCATAATTCGACTTCAACCGGCTACGTGCATTATTTCCAAGGATCAGTCCAGAAATTAAAAAGTTGCAATATATAATAGTACAACGTTACTGTATAGATAATAACAGAACTTAGCGCATGAACAAAACTGGATATTTAACACTAAATATTAACTATTAGCATTAGCATACTACAGCAAATCAGATTTTTCGATTTGGAATTAGAAGTAAATTATTTGAAGAACGACACGTATTTTTGTTAATTGCTTCGAATAGAAAAGTTACAAATCTTAAGGCTAATAGTTTTTTCATATATATATATTTATATATTTTATATTTATTTTTATTTGTAATATTTTAATTTATATGGGTGATTGTAACCTCTACTTGTATAATGTCAATTATGCAAAAATATATTTTATTTTTTTTGTTATAGAAAAATGCCCACATACAAGCTCACTTATTTCCCAGTCACAGGTTTGGCTGAGTCAATTAGATGGCTTCTGGCATATGGTGGTGTCGAATTTGAGGATGTCCGCTTTGATAGAAAGGATTGGCCCACTCTTAAACCAGGTTAACATAAATTTTACTTTAAAATTTGTAGATTCAAATCACACTTTTGTATTCTTAATAGAGATGCGGTACAATGAGATAACATATAAACTCTATGTTATCTATTGAGTCTCAATCGTGCGTAATTGTTCAAAGCAGACAATATTACATGCTTCTAAAGATATCATAATATTTTACAGAGAATAATTATATTCATAGCAAAATAATTCATGTTATTTTGTGATATTAAATATTTTATTTTATTAAGACATTTTTGTTTAAAATTATTTGATTTAAATAAAACCTGCCATTTCTAAATGTGCAAAGTTTATATGTGACTTGGAATAAAGAATTGCTTATTTTGTATACATTTAGAAATGCCATTTGGCCAAGTTCCTGTTCTTGAAATCGATGGTAAAAAAGTTCATCAGTCTGTAGCCATTAGTCGTTATTTAGCAAAACAGTTTGGTCTTGCTGGAAAGGACGATTGGGAGGCCCTTGAAATTGATATGGCTGTCGACACTGTTCATGATCTTCGTGCAAGTAAGTGATCACTTATTGTTTTTATTCTATTAACCTTTATTCATTTGATGAAGTTACTAATAAAGACTTGATAACTAGACCCATATAACATTAAAATAATTATATTAATATTTTTATGTGAACCATAATTTTATTTTTTAGAAATTGCATCTTATCATTATGAACAAAATGAAACTGCTAAAGCAGCAAAATTACCTTATGTCAAGGAGGTAGTACCATACTTTTTGGAGCGTCTGGATGCTCAAGTACAGAAAAATGGTGGCTATTTGGTTGGTGGTGCTTTAACCTGGGCTGATATAACTTTTGTTTCTCTTCTTGACTATTTGGATTTTATGATGAATTCTGATACTGTCGAGAAATACGAGAATTTGAAACAACTAAAAGAGAAGGTCTTGAATGTACCTGCGATCAAAGCTTGGAATGAGAAAGCCCCGAAATCCAATTGGGTTCCCAAGTAAATAATATATAGCATTTCTCGCTCATTGTGTGGGTGGATTTCATGGAACATGATAATCTGAATCTATGTTCCATATATTTGTTATACCTATATTACTGGATATATATGAAGATCTTTGCATAACTATTATTTTGCATACCTACTAGTATTATATATATAAGCATATAAAGAGATTAGAGAATATAAACTGTTAAAATGATACCATACTTTTGTATTGAAATAAAGAATTTTACTAACTAATACACTTTTTGTTATTTGAAACCAGAAGAAAACTATTCTCTGAACTATATTTAGCATAATGATAAATGATAAACAAAATAACATTGACGTGAATCCAATGTACTTAACATGAAAGTACTAACGAATTTAAAAATAAGAAAATATTTTAAATATAAAGCGATACAAATTTCGTAGTACTGGGTACCAAATATTTTATTAATCGGAAACTTACTAATAACTTCTACATTCCATGTCTTAATATAATTCTTTCGATAACAATTTTATATATTTATAATTTTAAATGTTTTATATATTTAAATGCTTATTATGAATTTATCAATAACTTATATCAATAATTGAATAGAAAATTATCATTATTATAGTCTTTATAGTAGAGTAATGTCAAACATTTTGAAACTTTCTTGTCGTATCTATTATTAATCTTATTCCTCAATTAATATTGAATCAACTTTAACAAATACTCGTTTAAAATCAAGTTTCTTATCGAAAGAATGACGAGTTATCTTTTTGAGGTCGGTTACCCTGTTGATATCACGGAGGGTTGGTCCATAGGCGTGCCAATAATTTTTGATGTAAGTAATATATTTACATTAAAGAATTACTTTTAGATCACGTAATGTTATTTGTATTTGGATGTACGACAATTCGTAATATTTTTTTAAAAACAATGATAGAAAGTTCTTTTTTTTATAATGAAAATTGCGAAAAAATAAAGTTAGTCGAGGATACATTGCTCACCTTTATTATAATTACTTTTATATCATAAATATGATTAATATCTAACAAGAAGAAAATATATTTTATGAAAGTGACTACATGTAAGAAAAATAGTTAAATAGGGCTCTGTGCAAGGTTTAGTATACCATACATGCAATTGCAAATGTAAATATTTAACAATTACATTCGTAAACGAGACCAGGTCATCTCACTCGGAGTTACCGAGTTTTTTTAAATGTTTCGACCTTGACTTCAATCGATTAAAAATATCTTTTACAAATTGCTCGTGAATGATACAATTCGTACGACGAGAAAATATCGAATATTTATATTATTTATTTTTAATTATTACTTCAGGATTTTTTAATTACTTGGTCATTATATTCTGTACATTCTTTAGAAAAGGATAGTTATGGAATACTAGTAGAGGAAATGATTGAACGAGTAGATCATTGTAGCTTTTGTAGTTATATACATTTATGTAAGAAGAGAACAGATTTCTTCACGCTATGTGCAGAATGAATTAAATGGACGTAGCATCTTTGCAGTACCGCCGCGTAGATCTTCTTCGATGTACAAACATAGAAATCATACATACGTGACTATGTATATAGTAACAATAGCGACAAATGTCAGATTCTGTTTGAATCAAAGCCGCTATTGTATGATATGAGCAGAAAAAATAACAATTCCACTTTATTAACTCCTGTATGGAAAAATTTGTATTCGTAATCGTTAAATAATCGTAACTATAGGGGCGTAAATTTGATGGATATTTAAGAATGTAAGCAATAACCCTTGATATGTGTAATCATGCATCAAATCTTTGAACATTCGTCTTATTTGTTCCAATGTAACGTCATAATGCAGTTAAGTTTGGTAGATTATTTGATTATATTAAATAGAAATCAGATTTGTGTAAAATATTAATATGAATCTATTATATAATAGATTTGAAGAATGTGTAATACGTTATATATGTTATACATAAAATATTTTGGTTTAGTTAAAGCATCATATTATACTAAATGCTGGATTTAAATAAAACATTTTATTAAATTAAACACCATCAAAGAGTTAATTTGAATCTCCGTAAATCATTTTCTAGTAATTTCGAAATTATTTAATTCATTCTCATTTAAAAATTAATTGGAAAACAATATGTACCAAAATATCATTGTACTTCTTAAATGTTATTATTGCATAATATTAAATTAAAAGTGAATACCAGAATGATAATCGCACTAAAAATGTTACAGATAAATCCATATTTTTAATATTGTATATTCATAAAAATACCATCTATTACCATAAGCTTTATTATTGCACCGTATTTTCTTGAACAGTTAAAACGATTATTCCAGTAATTACAAAATTTCTTTTAAAATAATATATAATCAGAGATAGTATGTGGTTATATGACTAAACAATTTTTCAAGTCTTGTGGACGTAAGTATAATACTGATTAATTCTATGTAGATATTCTTTTATCGATCGGATCATTACCGAATTTGCTACAGTAAAGTATTGATAAGTCCAAATGACTTGCATTATGTTCTAATTTAATCGCACAATAATATATGATTTAAAAAACATCTTTCTATATAGAAAACCTATACACCTTTACTAACTTTGAGCCGTAATTTTGTGATACATATGATATAAATTAAATTATTATACTGAAATAATAAAATAAATATGTATTATACAAGTAGATTATTATATGATTATAATATTATTCAATTCAATAATTACATATGCTTAAACAATCATACTCGCTAAATAGCAATTTTTGAAACTGAAATAGTGAAAATTTCAAAATAGAATGCATCACCAAACGAGTCACGCCCTGAACTAAAAGTTATATCTGCTCACGGCCATGCCAGGTCTACAATGACTTGCAACTTTTTGATAATCCTTTGCACCAGATCTACAATGACTTGCAACTTTTTGATAATCTGTTGCACTATCATGCTCTCTATAACAATTTAATTAACAAATTTTAAGGTTTTTGTTGGAATGTCTAAAATTATTAGGAGTTCAATGAAATTGTTTAAACATTTGTTTACATGTAGAATAGGAGGTCTAATTCCGAATACAAATATTTCACTGATATATTGTTGAAAAGTAGTTACGAAAGGTTTTCTCTTATGTTTTCCTCTTTATCCTGTTGTTTTATAAAATGCACTAAACGATCGTACTTTCTAAAACTTATAGGTTTCCATCTTAAATAATTCATTATACGGATCATTTTTGTTGTTATGTCCCAAATAAGAAATATTCTTTGATTATTAATTTTTTTAATCATGAAATACATGGAAACTTGAAGACACTATTAATAAATATTAAAAATTTCTCTTTGCCTTACAATTCTTTCTTCTTTCATTAAAATAATATTTCTAAATTATCTTATATAAAGAAATGATATTCTTATCAATGAAGGTGCTGTAAAATAAATGAACATTATTTTTATCATATGTTACTGTGTATGTTGCAGGCAACACGTTTTTCATGAATCACGATTCAATGAAAATGGTGGGGATGAGAGATAGTGTATGCAATGTTTAAAACGGCTGGCTAGCGGTACGCAGGATCAGTTAGTCCACGATAGTTCGTTGAATTTGATTGTCTATTTAGAGTTCCTCGCTAAAATTGACGTAAGTGTTTTTGAAGTTTTAAAAACTATATCTTGAATTGGTGTGCATGAAAGTGTTTTGTCTACTTTCACAAATGATTTTTTTTAAAAAGATTCAATTTTCTGTATAATAAATCGTGTGCTTTACAATTAAACCGGAAAATTTGATAATCTGTTTAAAAAAGCAAACAATAACTTGGAAAAAAGAAAGTTAGTTGTCGTTAATACTATAATAATGAATAATAATAACTAATAATTAATAAGTTACTGTTCTACCCGAAATTTACTGAATACATAAACGGAACCAGTTATCTACAGTCTACGAAATTGTATTGTAAAGTTTGTAATTATTTATCATTCTATTTTATTTTTTATTTTTATTTTACTTAAATATTTTATTTGAACTATAAAATTCATTGTGAATAAAATTATCCACCAACTTCATACAGTAATTCATTAAAAATGTAATATACATCAGTCTTATTTTAATTACCAAACTTGATAGAAATTTCTCCAGTATCAACAGAATTTTTCCAGGGAAATAGAAGCTGAGTCTTGCATTTTTGTTTATTTTCTTGAATTTGTAATCCCAGAATCTCGTTAGAGGCTTTATGTCCTACATTAACTTCTTTTGCAATCTAAGTTCGCGATTTATAGATAGACACGACGAAACAGTAATTTTATTTTTCATAAGTTAGAACGTTCAAGTAGATGGATGGATAGATAATGTTTACTTATTTCCTCTCTTCCTTTCAAGTAATCTGGAAAATCGACATTCATAAACAAGATATTTAAATATTTATTATAAAAATATTCATCTTATTTTTCATTTGTTCTTCTTTTATATCGCTATTTCTGTTTTCAACATCAATACCACAGAATTGAGATCAGTAGCCACTAGAGCGCAATAGATTGAAGTATGTAGGGATAGTTTCTCTCAAGGACATTATGGTAACTCTGTATTCAATTACCTCCAATGTCACAACTGTTAGCAGTACACTTACTAACATTGGTCTGCAAATACTCAGATATATGTATATATCTTCCAGAATGTACTAGACTGTAGCATTACCCATGGTTATATAACTGATTAAAGCTTCGCTGATCATTCAAACAGACGATTCATCTTCCCGTTGGAATATTGCTCGCGCGTTGAGTAACCGGTTGCGGCGTTATTGGTTTTATGGTTGGGTTTAAGAGAAACCGCATAAGTCATTCTATGTGTAATTTAAAAAAAGATTACATTGTTTCCGATTTTTTCACCTTCCGGTACTCGTTATGTATTTTAAGAAATCATATTGTGTATGATGTTAGTTCCAAATTAAGTTTAAAAATTATATTTGCTATTCACTTTAATGACATGATTTTTGCGTACAACTTTTTACAAAATAAAATGATCCTCTTTATATATAAGTAATAATAACTCTTATTGATGAAAGTATATACGATGATGTTTTAAAGTAATAATTTTAATTAGATTAAAAATGATGCAAATGATAATTGTAGCGAAATTTAATTACAAAATAATATAAAATATACTTCAAAGGAGTAAATATGTACTTAGATCATAAACAATTAAGAGATTTAGTTTAAAGTTAAAAGTGTAGGAAGATAAAAATAGTTTTTATTACTTTTTTAATCTAACTGTACTTTATAAATTATTAGTTAGAGAATATTACAAGAAATAATTGTACTTATTAAATTACTATTGAATACAGATTATGCCTACCTACAAGGTGACATACTTCAACTTCACCGGCCTTGGTGAGCCCATTAGGTTTTTGTTGGCGCAAGCTGGTATCCCTTTTGAAGACAACAGGATTGCCTTTGAAGAATGGCCTGCACTTAAACCTAGTAAGTAGAGCTAAGTAGTTTCTCGATTAATAATCTCTTATTTTATGGCCCACATGTAAAAAATCCATTATTCAATTTCAATGTAAATATAAATCCTAGATCAATTTTTTACATTACTTTTTAAGGAAATCGAATCAACATTATTTTTCATAGTAAATGTCTATTTAGCCGTGTTATATGAAATATTGATAATATATTTTTAAAAAATGTAAAAAGTATTGTAAGTATTTTACATCTGAAATAAAATAACTATTTTTCAATAATTCAATCAACTAACGGTTAAAAAATTTGTTTCCAATAGTTATCATTACGTTCGCATCGTTTGTTAGTACCTAATAAACCGCTCGTTATGTAAAGACACAGCAAAGAGGAAAACATGTTTACAGAAACACCAACGGGCGTCTTACCCATTTTGGAAGTCGACGGAAAGCCTTACACTCAATCGAAGGCGATTATTCGTCTCCTCGCTAGACAAAACAACCTCTACGGTTCAGATGATTACGAAGCTTACTTGGCCGATGTCGCCGCAGATACCATTGAAGATTTGAGACAACGTACGTGTTTATATTATATTTACCATTTACATCGTTTTCCTTTAACACTTCTGGAGCTGATAATTTAATTCAAGATAATTTAATCTCGTAGAATACGGTAGCATTTCAATTATTATACAGAAAGGAAATTGATATATTGGTCAATGTTACAAATAAATTTCAGAGAAAAATAATAAATACTGCAAATTATTGCAGATTTGTTTTTCATGTATCATCAGGAATTAGAAGTAGAAATTAGTATTCATAGATTGTGGATGTTTATTCAATGAGACATTTTTATTAAATGAGGCCATGACAGTAATTGGTTCCATTCTTGTAAAAAAGTATACTTTGACAAAATTATTAGAGATTGCATGTTGTATATATTTGGTAATCATTTTTATAGCACTTACGCAATATTACTGGGAAAAAGACCCCGCCCTGAAAGAAAAACTCAAAGAGACTGCTTGGCAAAAATACCCCGCCTACCTTGACCAGCTTAATGAACAAGTGAAGAAGAATAATGGACACTTCGTTAATGGAAAGGTAACTGTTATATAAGTTAAATATAGTTGTCACGAAGTTAGAATTACGATATGCAGAAGAATGACATTAACTCGTTACAATCATTACAAAATACGTGTAGGAAATGATTAATATGGAAATAAAATAAATTGGTACGCTAATGGCATTGTTACAAAAATTAAAACTTTTGTGTGAAAATCGTTACGTAGTTACTATAGATTTGTTATGTTAAAAAATCATACATAGTATTATGAATATTTCCGATCTTTACATTCGTTAAATCAAAGGACGTTTTAATGGTTATTGTTGTATAAAACATGTCAATAATGGATAATTAAATACTTAGTTTCAGTTATAAATTTGAATACCGGCTGTTTTCACACTCTTAGTGTTACTAACTTAACTTGATAAAAGCTAATTTATATGGAACACGTCATAATGATCGACAGAAGAGAGTTTCCGGCTATAAACTAATTTCTATATCACTTGTGACCTTCTATTACCATATTTGCACCCCAACAATTGAGATTCATGAAGTTAAAAGAATAATTTAAGCACTCTAACTGTGCCTTCCGTTCATCCTTTTATGATTTTTGAAAGTTCACTAATTGAAATTGAGTTTTCTAAAAGATTATCAATAAAATGTATACATATAACAGAAAAATCTTTTGAAAACATAATCCATCAAATTTAGAACTTTAACTTTGGATGATAGAAGATTAGTCCATCTTGCTTGCAATTTACTATTTATTCGAATGTTTTATTATAAAAATAAAACTGTGTTTTTCTTTAAAATTCTCAGTATTGTTCACCACAATTGATTGTCTTTATAATTAATCAAACATATTAATTTGGATTTCACAATTTTTATTAATGTTATTAACAACTTTTATTATACAAATTTTAAATTTTAGTACGAAATAATGATAAGTTCATTTTGTTTCTTTTAGAATAAAAATTCACATATATTAGCTCATTTACGATATTGGTATAGTTAATAACCTTTCAAATTCGGTTACATAGAAAAGTAAGTGAAACAGTTTCCATAATTAGGATCAGACTTACAGTCTTTATGCATTTATGACAAATATAAATACATAGAATATAAAATTGAGAAATTTTCATAGTATTTTAGAATGCTGTTACTGTACCTTCGATTTACCAAAAATTCTTTAAATTAGTTTCTCCTTTCAGTTAACTTCTTAGCTACTGTATGTCACTATAGTGACTATCGTGTATATCATTTTTTTTAACGATATGGCACAATTCTTACTCTGCCATCGATGGTTGTGCACATTACAGTCTAATCTAACGTAATTGCACAATGGAAAATTCTATCGGTTTCAAATCCCAGTGTTACATTTGTGATATGCAAACCGCGTCAAACTTTGCCGTACAGACATGTAGCTTCGCTGCTAATCTTACCGTAGCTAAAAGGTTAATCTTTGTTTCTTTAAATTGTTCCGAAAAATTTGAAGTTTGCATAAAGTTCAATTATCATTTCTTTTTCAGTTGACCTGGGCAGACCTCCTATACACCGCGTACACAGAATTCCTATCCGCTTATGTAGGCCACGACTTCAACAAGGACCACCCTGAACTGAAGAAGCTGACCGAGAAAGTGAAGGCGCTGCCCAACATCAAGGCATACCTCGCTAAACGACCCAAGACCGACTTCTGAAAACGGAATTCCTCGACATTATAACATGACATGATACACGCGATACACAAATTTTCCAAGGAACTTTCTAATAAAAAACTAACACCATCGATCCCTTCTTTTTTTATTATTTTTCACACGACACTCGCACATCTTCTACATGTTATCATAATGATACAAATGTTACGCTAGATCTGTTCGATTCGACAAACGAACGGTGAAGGTGGAGCTATATGTCGCAAGTATAAAAATAAATATATGTTCACGAGAAAATGTTTCTTGAATGATCTCTTCTGTTGCCGGTTGATCTCGTCACACACGAGACGTTTCCTCGAATATGCTTTTTACATGTGGAAATCATAAAAAACATTCACGTACCGAGATGTGTTTCCTAATTCGTCACTTTACAATGCACATTTATTGTTTAAACCAAGCTTGCCCAACTCGCGGTTCAAGACGGTTGTAAATGCGGTTCCACAAAGAATCATAAGCTTAACAATACTACAAATACAAGTTAAACATGTTATTAACCCTTTGCTACAAATGAATAATTTAATTATTCAACTAACGAGAGACTAGCATGTGGTTCCTTTTCTTTCAGTGTTTAATACTTTGAAGCATAATTTAGATTTTCATGAAAAGGAATGTTAGAAGTTTCACCAGTTAGCTGGTTTTGACAAACATACTCATCATGAAGAAATGGCAAAGTTTTTTGTTATGACGAGTATACTCGTCCAAAAACAGCTAACTGGTTAAGGAAATATACATTTTTGGAACAACTAATTTTGTAGGTATACATTACTTCAATGGAAATTTTTGAAAAAATGATTTGTAGACATGAACACGTAAACATACTATAATAAGGTATATACTTTTCAAAGGGGTCGCAACAGCTATCTGGTTAAGACAGTCTCATCTGCAAAAAGTTAATAGAAAATTGTCAATTACTAAGGGTTAATTTATATGCGATTTGTAACAACTCTTCTTCCACTGAGTCCTAGGGAATCTAAAAGGTTGGACACTCCTGGTTTAAACGTTCTTGGCAAAAAGTTCGTTGGAAATTTTCAGTAGACGCTGTTTTATTAAGAAGCGCAGTTGTAAGAATCGCTTTAATGATAATGTTCGTGTATGACAAATTCTAAATGCAGTGAATTCAATCATGTATTCATTGGACACTCAGCATTTTCGTTTGTGATCGCATAATGAAGCATTTCTTTATACAAGCCTCCGTTATTTTTACGGGCCGCTTTTGTTTATATAATTATGATTACACTTTATGAAACACCCTGTATAAGGTAAGTACTTTCTTTGTCGATCATTGTAAAAGGAATATGTATATGCTTAAACTGTCATTTTCATTGTTGATATTTCTGATAGTACTGTCAAATCTATTCAGAACTGAGAGTTCTTTTAATGTAAAGTCTTAATCGCTATTTCTTGATTGACGCCATCGTTTTAATTTGATTTTCCTAAATCAAATTAAATTCGACTGTTTTCAATGGAACCGATGACTGAAAATGCAATGAACAATTAAATTAAAATGCTTCCGCTGGCAAGGATTGCGCGTTATTACAACTGGTATAGTGCTAAGTGTTCGTAACTATTCGAACATATTAACGTATTTATTGGAACATATTCAGCTGCTGATTATCACCACGTATTTATTTTCTTAAATTCTAGCAACTACGTAGTCTACGATATCATAAAATTAGTCCTTTTCCAATTTTAACACTTTGACGGTTATATTATTTTCAGTAATACTTGTCATTTATCAATAATATTTTTTACAAACTCAAAAGCAAATGCACTTGTTTAAAAACTATTAGAACCCTTATTATTTCAACTAAATAAAAAGGACTTAGTATTTATTTAATCACATTATTATGATATAGTTCTTGTGAGGAAAGAATTGGTAAAGAATAGTAATTTTAATTTAGTACTGTGGCGAAATGAAGTGACAAGTGATGTTATGTGTATATATCTTACTGCGTTATTTTTCTATAGTTATAATCGTATCCTGTCATTTGTAATGCATTTCCGTGCGCAAATTGCCTTATTTTCACAGTTCCTTGCACGTAATTAGTACCAGCATAATGATTTAAACATTAAATTCCTGAATCAGCACGTGAATCATTATATTGATAATAACAAATATTAAACGTATGAATATTACCAGTCAACATATTAGCCGTTTCGCAAGAAGGAGCAAGTAACATACATCTTAATATTTTATTCAAACACTGACGTTAACTTCAATCGGTACTCAGTCGAATTATTGTTGAAAGTAAACCATTTTAAGATGAAAATGGTATAATACATACATACGAATCGATCGAATAATTATGAACAGTAGCACATTTATTGTCAATCCTCGAGAGAAGAAGCAAGTCACTTGAAATTCGTTAAATGCACCATAATGTTACGTGTTCACACTTATCGCTACTATTAAATAGGACTATTTACATCGATGTTTGCGCAAATTTCGCGACTTAAATTAGAAAAATTCGTTACAGGTTCCTTCTTCCATCGAAAAAGAAAGAAAAACAGAGGAAGGGATACATAGTATGAGTACAGTACCGTCTATTGCAACGAACCTGGCACTCTTGTCTGAATGGCCAGATTCGAAGACGCACGCCTTGCACACACAGATTTTCGATTCCGGCATATGATTCACTGAGATGCTCACGCATACTAATCTGTTAATTTGATTGAGAGCGCTAAGAACTGTTTCCGAACTCAGAATTGGATTTCTCGATGCGACTGTCTCCCTTCCTATGACGTTACGAGTGCCAGGTTTGCTGCAACGGGCGGTACAGTATTCTCGCGATTAATACCCGATAGTCGGGACTGCAATCGGGCACTAATCGCGCAGTGGTGTTTATTCCAAGTCAAGATAAGATCCGAGTCGGGCTCCTCTGTTTGTCTTCTTGTAGAAAAAGATGGGGCGAATGAAAGAACAAGAGATCGGAACTTCGGAACGATCAAAATAAACAGATGAATGAGGGGACACAATGCAACGTTAAACTTTCTTATTTTTCACTTTTATTGGCTGAAACTTTTATCAATTAAATTGTGAGGTTTCTGTGATTAAAACGAAGACGAACAAGATATATGTTGGAATATATTTGCTTATTTAATAAATTATAATAATTTATTTTCTTTTAGTAAATTGTGATTAAAAGTGTGCCATGTCTGGTCTTGTTTTAATCAGAAAAGTCTCACAAATGTGTTAACAAAAGTTTCATTTACAAAAGAGACCCTTATAAAAAAGTTTTATCCTTGCATTAATATTGTCTTACCGATATCTACCACCATTGAACAACGTATCATATTACAATTGTTTGGCGGTCGAGCTTCGTGGCTTGCTGTGAGGACAGTATACTGTAGAACCTCAATTATCCGAACTAATTGGAACAGGATGGTCCGGATAGTCAAATTCTTCGGACAATTTATTAGTAAAACAAATGAAAATTAATGTATCACTTGTTGGAATAATTGAGAGTTCGGATAATCAAGGATTGAATAATCGAGGTTCCACTGTAATATACTTAGAACGTCTTTTCACTAGGAAGAATTGAATTCCAGTTCTGCAGGTGACGGTTGAGAGATTAAGCATAGAAACGGAGAAGTTTTGCTGGAGAACAGTAGTCAGACATAGTTCGCCGGGAAGAGGCATTCAAGTGATTACATCGTAATTCACTCTATCCAACTACTGCGCCAATACTGTGCCGGTGAACTTGGTCTCATCAAGATCTTGCAAACTGGAATTGCTGATTCTCTCAGTGATCGGGTGGCTTTGAAGCCGGGGCAACGCGGTCGCAGTTTCCGGTTTCGTTGAAGAGTTGCTGGTGATTTTTGGCTGCAACGAGAAGAGACCTTTCGTGCCTTGCCTCAATCTTACGGCGAGAATTTCTGTAACATAAACAATAATTCAGGTAAGATGTATAACTTTACATCTGTTATACCTTAACACTATATAGTTTTGCGAAACGCGATGATTTTGATTGGCGTAATTACACGCGTTTATATCTTCATTCTGTATCTTTCAATTTTCAAGATTTTCAAGAGCTAAATGAACGAATATCAATTTTTCTAGAAACAATAGAACAAGCTACACAATAAACGTCTGTAAACCTAGTGTTAAAGATATAAAAATCACAAGAAAGAGTATGAAAATTAGAATCACGTTTTATCATCATTAATACTCACCTAGATACATGTTGCAATAATGTTGTTATTAGAATCTAATTAGAATACAGATGTGTATACAAGTACATTATCTTTTAACAAAAGTAAATAATAATTCTCTGTTTTACAATAAATTTATAAATTCATTTTGTCATTAGACAATTCTAATCGTGGAAGTAGCTTTTTGATTTTACATATCTTTAATAGTGCAGAGTTCAAACATAAACAACGAAATTTTTAAAATTCAATGTCGTTAATATTGTAAAGATGGTGAACAAACGACGAAAAATATAATACAAATATTATGATACAATATATATATATATATATAATATAATATAATACAACAATAAAAATATAAACAAAGAAAAATCGTGAAAAAATTACCAAAAGTGGCAGTCCTCGGTGGTCGCTGAATCTTCAGCAGGCACTCGTTGACGCAGGACATGCCGACGTTGTTGTTACCCTCGTTGAAATTCTTGCTGATTGAAGTCATCAACATGAGTTGACTAAAATTTGATCTTCTGGACACGGTCCTCTCGTACTCGTGGCCGTGAATCCTACTCACCTTCGTAACCTGTCGATTTTCTTGTTCCTTTGGCAGACTGTTTAAATCGGTGGACATCGTTGGCCAACCGACGCTTGTCATTTTCTGGTTATCGTCGCTGACGGATATCGACGGTGAATTCTGACGATCATCCGTCTTCCTGATCGTGGACCTCGGGTATTTTAAAAGACTACTATATGTTGGCTGTCTGGGGACTGACTTTCGACCGCAGCGATTGGACAGCATCGACTGTAAGTAAGTTTTAGTTTGTTCAATATATTCCATAGGTAATTCAATGTATTCTATAGGTTCTCTTTATTGGAATGATTGGTTTCGCATTATTGGAATAGTTGCGTTTGATTTTAATCATTTGAGAACGAATGTTGCTGAATTAGCCACATCGAATGTTATGTTTAACACACTACCATTTTCGATAAGAAATGAAAGTTGAAAGGAACGAATTTAAGTATTCAAAAGATAGAAGATCAACACGTAGTTTTTTTATTTCATTATTTATTATTATTTATCCTTTCCTTCTATGAAATAGACTTTTAATGCTTTCAAAAATCCTTCCCCGCGAATGGTTAAGGTTTATGCAGAGCTGATCAAAAATATGAACATCAATAAAGTTTAATCAATTGCTTTGTTTTGTTCTTAATTACCGCTTTGATGAATCAGTTTTTAAAATTGTGACATATCTATATAATCATTATATATTTATTAATTATTTAATAGGAGTATATGATATCTTATAATATTCATTATTATATTAAATAAATAATTTTAAATTAATATTTGAAATAAATAAAGAATGGCGTGGCAACATTTTTATAGATGAAATACTATAATAAAATAATATGGCAAAATAAAAAGGGATCCGTTGATCTAAAATAATATTGAACACTTTCAAATACTGCTTTCTGTTCTTAAATGAGCATAAAACATACTGGAGGAATGTCTGTGTCAACAAAATTTTGAAACGACTCAAAGAAAATTCCCGTAGATACGAAAAGATAATTTTGATGAAGACGTCGACGAGATTTCTGTTGAGGATACTCCGGTGAATACTTACCTTGAAAGCTTCTCTAAATTTGTTGGACATGATGTTGTACAGAAGTGGATTCACCGTCGTGGAGAGGTAATAAAATACCCCTGACACGTACGTGAGGATGGTGTAAACTATCACTAACGCGTCTTCCGGTTCGGCCTTCGTGCTCTGCGCATAGACAGCCAACAGTCTTTGGGCATGGAACGGTGCCCAACAGATGAAAAACGCCACAACCACTGCAACTGCAACAACACAGAACCCTTTCACCTTTCGTTGTCATTATACAAGTTTGTAAATTAGTAAGTCAAACACGATGCGCTATCACGAAAATGGAATCACAAAAACGAAGATTGGAAAATGGAAAATCTTTTAATAAAAAAGCCATAGTTAGAATTAATGACGTTTATTTAAAATGTGAACTTCTGAACTATTCACTTTTTCTTATTTTATTTTAATATATTCGTTATCAGTGTCAATATTCTATTGTAAAATGTTCGTTCATTATATTACCACGAAGATTTTAACTATTTACAAAATATTTCCCAACTTGACACATGTGTGTTCTTCCAAATTCTCTTTTGTACAGTATCTTTCAACATCTCTTAACATTTATCAATATATAATGGTATTTGAAAATATCGGGCTGCAGTTAGTACGTGAGATAGATCGCAGGGTTGTACGTGTCGGTTTCTATCGCTGTTTCATGGAACAATACGTCCATAAACCTTTATCGTTTAAAGACACTCAGAACTCGATGCAGTCAGGTCATATCTTGACAAAAAATTTAATTAAGTTTTCCACGTGCGCGACGCTCCGAAGGAGGAGTTTTCCACCACTACTGTGGATGAGGAAACGTATCCCTCCTTCGGGTGATAGTGAATAAAGAATATTTGTGATTCATTCATGAAATTTCGAAGAGTCTGCATTCAGTCATTAACCTTAATTGCGAAATTAAGATTATAATTAACATTAATTGCCAAACATGTCGTAATTTAATTCTTTTGTTTCTGAATACGTATCTTTTTTAACATGAATTTTGTGAAAAAAAACTTACGGCTGTGCAATAATAAATAATGTGTAATAATTTAAAATGTCCGTGGTACCTGTTGTAACATTTGGCACGAAAAGGTTAATATTTTTCGTCGGAAATGTTTCATTTTCAAATTGTTCTATTTGTAAATAATTTTACATAAATTTTGAACCAGTCGATGGGGTATCGTGAATAGTTTATGGAACCAGCAACCGAGGTTTTGATATCAAGACAGTCAATCAAAGGTATTTGTCAATCTACAATGGATTCTACCAAACAATTATAAAAACATTTTGAACATGATCGTAAGCGAATACTGATTTGTTATGTACACTTTCTGTAAATTTTTTCGAAAAAATTTATAAACATTTGTTACAGTCATGCACAATTATTTACTCTATTTTTTTTAATAAATAATTGCTCAATATTAATTTGAGTATATCCTATGAAGTACTGTAATTTATAGTTTGAAAATGTAGTTCACTTTGCATTATATCATTTCTTTTTCTAAAACTCTGTTCTAATTATGGTCGTATGAAAAAACTTGATTTAGAGTTGTATGACTCTATATAGAAATATAACTTATAAATTCAGGTAGAAGCCCGAAACTATAAAAACTATAGAAAGTTCAAATAAAAATTAAAAAAATAGCTAATTCAATCTGATCCTTGATTTACGCGAAAATTCGTTTCTCATGGATTCGTTTTAAGGGAACGAAAATCATGTAAATAAAGTCTGTCAGTGCAAAAGAAAAAATATTAGAAATAAAAGCTAGTGCATATAAGTTTTAGAATTACATATTTATTTCAAATAGTTTAACCAAAACAAAATAGTGAAAAATTAAAAGTGCACGGGGACATCGGGAATCAGCCACACGCTTCAGCTCGGACCTTCCAAGAAACATAGTAGCCAAGCTTCCGAATCTCCAGGATTCAGTAAACAAAAATTTCTAGGAAAATACATTTTATAGCTGTGTAAATTAAGATCGCACGTAAAAACTACCGTATAAATAGTGTTTTAACCTGTTAACTGTGGAATGTAGTTTAAAAAAATCTCTCGTTTCGCGTGCAATAAAATTAAAAAATGAAGTGTGCACTCGTCAAACGCAGGACAAATACATTTAAAGCATATTTCAATGAAAAATCAAAGCAAAACAAAGACATATTACATGTTCATTTAAAAAAATAAAGAATTCATCGTTGAAAGACTTAGTATCATTTTGATTTTAAGATGACGCGGGTACTCGTCAAACGTAGTTAACTGATTAATTTACCGAGTAAAACAGAGATTCGCGTAAAAAGAGTCCACGTAAATCAAGTGTCAGGTATATGCGCGTATTCAGGACAAAAATTCGTTCTGCAAATATTGGATTCAGAAGCATGTCGATCATTTCACGCATTTGTCCAAATGCAACTCGCAATAGTAAATAGACAGATGCTTGCATTCCCAGAATAACGGAATAAGAATTATATTCATGGTGTACACTTCTATCGTACACCTCGAGTACGATCGATTCAGCTTGTAATGGACTAGTAAGCGTTCCGAAGATCTCGTTTTATACCTGTGTAATTCGAATATCTGAATATCAATGAACCAGAAAATATTCATGCGAGCCACATAGCTGAATAAATATAGTTACTTTCAGGCAATCATTTATTATAAGCCAAGTCCAATATTGGGAAATATGGTTCAAAATATCCTTCTTGAAGTTATCTTATCCAAGATTGTAGATAAAATGTATTTACGCTCTTACTGAGCCAGAGAAAATGGTTTTAGCTTATGGAGGATCGTCTTAAGCCAACAGTATATAGAAATCTTGTTTAAAAATCTATTTTTATTCATTGGGTATTCAGAAGGTGGTGACAGTTCGAGGCCAGAGAATTTCTCCATAACCTGGTCTATTTTATAACGAGTATAATACATCCAGAAGACTGTTTCATCCACATGCTTCGGATAATGCTGTTTAAATCACTTGAAATCTCGAGTGGCTTCAAATCAAGATGGATACGTAATTGGGTGAACGTAATGTAAGTTACCTGAGATGTTAGGTAATTGTGACGTGGACTTGTCTGTAAGATTATGCGATTTCAACGCGACTCTGTCTCAAATAATTACAATTTCAGACGCTTAAACATTTGAATCACTCTTAGAACAGTGGGAAGATTGTTATTAAATCATAAAACTTCATGTAAATTATTCACTTTGTCAGAAATGTCACGTAATATTTTGGAAAAAGAAGAAAGAAAGGAAGAGAGAGAGAGAGACTTCTTCATAAAGAAATGTTGAAAACTTTGATTTTTTTCTTTTTGTAACTACGGTGCGTTTTACTGAAAAATGTGAAAATATTTAAGAAAACTTTCTTCCATAAGAACTTTTCGTTTCTTTTAGAATTTTACATTATTTTAAGTTTCTTATAATCAGAATTAAGAATTTATTTCAATAATAGCAATACTTAAGCGCAGAATTTATTTCAGTGTTCATATGAAGTAATTTTTGTTTATATGTTAGCTTGGGCTTTATTATTTTATATCATTTGCAAAATCTGATAACATTATGTCGAGTCACCTGCAAGCTTACGTAATAAAGCTGTTTTAACTGATCGGAAAGCTTTAATCAGTTTTTATATTTTAGTTAAACGATTTTGTTTCTGTTTGTCTGAGACTTAGGGAAAATGTTTTAGTTTATCTACAGTTGAAATAAATTAAATTAAATTACCTTGAAGTTTAAGTTAAACTACTTTAACACATTGACGGCGATATGAACTACTGGTAGGTGACAAGATGTACGTTTATTTGGCGCACAAATGAGCGCCCATATGAACGTGTTAAGCAACCACTATCTTCTCATTAATTCTCTAATTAACACTAGGTTTATGGAACACGTCAATGTGACGTATATTCAGTTTTATAAACACTATTTACTAAATATTTACGTCGACTTTGATTGATACAATTACATGATTATATAATTACCTCTATTTCCTATTATTAAACTTCACAATTAACAAATTTATTGCTCTGCTATTATAAAAGAAGCAGTTTCTGCTTCAAATAAGATCTATTTATAATTTAAATTAATTTTTCAATTCTAAACCATTTTTCCTGTAACTTAAGGCACAAATGATATTTATGTAATTAAATTATTATATACTTGAATCACAGCATAAATAATATTTCAAAATATTCTACTTATCAACACTGTATTGTTGCGATGAATGTTAATGCTCTGAATTGCAACCCATAATTGACATTATCAGTATAGGCTTTTACAATAAATGTTAAAGTTCTAAATTGTAACATATAATTGACATTATTAGTATTGTATTTCACAATGAACCTTAATGCTCTAAATTGCAACATATAATTGACATTTATCGTACGGTAACCCTGTTATCAGAAATTTGTATTTCAGACACTGATGAGGGTGCCCGTACAAAATTGTATCATCCAAATTATGGTAAATACGAACTGTTTGAAGTTTCTACATTTTTTCGTAAACATGTAAAATCAATACCTTCGCTGTAAATTTCACTAATGACTCTGATAAATTTCGAGTCCTACGGTATTTACGTTCTTGCTTGAAAGTAAATCATTTGCATGGAGCAACGTTAACTTCCTAAGCGTTTGTCGATAACTGCAATATACTGAACAAGATAACTACTTCGCTAGGTTCTCGTTATTTCTCGAAACGTACTAACGAGCAATGAAAGGCAATTTTCATGAAAAATTTATGCTTGAGAAAGTTTATGAATAAATTTTACGATTACCTTCATTTAAGATATTTTTATTTCAATAGAAAGGATTGTTTTTAAAAAAGACTACAGAAAATCAGATGTTAAGTTAATAAAAGAGGGACTCTCCTATGCGAACAACTGTACTTTTAATGATAGCTTACAATTGATGTTGTATTATACTATCTATCAAAATATTTTGATAGATTCTCGTGAGATGAACAAATTTTTAAAGAAAAAACTAAAAGAAAAACCATTTATTGTATTCAAATATTGCTGGAAAACAATTTTTCATTAGTTATTTTAGATTTCTTAATAAACTTCTTACTAGTAGATAAGTCTAATAGGTATAGACGTGAAACCATTTTCCAAGTTCCTATTCTTTATATTGCTACCATAATATGTCATACTATTTTTTGCAAATGGAAAAACTATCTTCTATAAACCTATAGAAATTATTTTTTATAGATTGACAAGTTAAT